TGCCAATCAGCCTGCGCGCCCGGGGGCACCTGCCCAGCCGCTAGCGCCGCCGCCGCCGGGACCAGGGGCGCCCCAGTTCTTGCTCACCTCCCCTGATCCTGCACACCCCGAGCCCCTAACCTAGGGAAAAGGGTTCGACTCTGCAGTTCGGGCCTAATTCATGTGCCCGGAGCGGCAAGCCTGGCGGCGAAAAGGAGTCCTCCCAGCCTTTCCCGCTCTGCTTCCCTGCAGATTATGATCTGGTTTTGAATATACATCGAAAGACCCGTTTAGGCCGTAGGGTAGGTGAGGAGGGCTTCCGCGCAGTTTGCGCCCCTCGTGAGATCGGTTGGAAGGGACAGATTGTTCCCGTGGGCCGGTTACGTTAGAAAGCGCGCTCCCGGCCGGCTACAACCCGCTGGTAGTAGGAGCAGACGCTGGGAGCGCAGGGGGTGGGCACTGGGCCGAGGCCCCCGCCCCCAGCCTGCGGGCTCGAGGCCGCGGTTCCAGCTTTCAAGCCTAGTACTGCCCGGGAGAACCGGGCTATGCAGGTTGGTGGCGCGCACATTGCAGCGGCCGTAATCAACAGGCAAGTGGGCACACCAGCCCACCTGCACCTTCCGGTGAGCCCGAGTCTCAGGGCAGAGCTCGGCTTTCTAACTGCTAGCTTTGGTGGGGTAGGGTACAGTAGGCCAGAACCAAAGATGCCTAGAAAGAACCTTATGGCATCTCCGATCGACTAGGGAGAGTGACACAGACAAGCAAGGGCGGCTTGCAGGGCAGGCTGTTTCCTTGACTTCTCAACAACACAAGGTCATTGCTCTGTAAGGTTTGCTGTGCGCCTTGCTGTGCCTCTCATCATATTTATTTTTCCACACACTGTGCCTGGGATGATCCCTCACGGACCATCAACCGAGGTAATCACAGGTGTAATGGAGACAGCAGTGACGATTAAAAAGAGCGTAGATGCAGAAGGGAGTTTTTAATTTTGATGCTCCCAAGAATTCTTAAGAAGAAACAGCCTTATTCTTGACTTGTTTGCTTGGGTGTATAATTACGCTGTTTTCTAGGATTCATCAGCAAAGGATTTCAACTGCCAGATGTTCAATCTTAGTTTGCCTATTAAAGGTACGCAAAAGATATTTCACTGCCTGCTGCAGTCACACTTTTTGAGAGTAGGTATTTGGACAGTTAGAAATCCAAAATGGGACAAAATCCACAGGTATTACAAAGCCACAGGACTCCACTCTCCTTTTGCCTGAGTCCTTATTATGTACCAGATTCCCTAATGGCCCAGATATTATAAGGAAGATGATATAATGGATCTGGTCATCCTAGAGGTTAGCAGTGATTTCCCTCCCGATTCCCCCCAGCTGGATGACATCTAGTGTACTTGGTAGGGAGCTGGGACTGTAGCTCTTCAGTAAAGCCCACGTTTAGCACTCCGAAGGCCTTGGGATTCCACAGCATCCCAAATAATCTGCTTTGCTTGTTACTGACTTAAAAACTGTCTTTTAAAAAACCAAATTCTGGCAAAACCAAAAAACAAATACAGGCCAACTTCAAAAGCTGAGACTTGCATATCACGAGTAGAAATCCTATGATCTATTTTTGAAAGGAAAAAAAGAGGAAATTATGCATTTATGTTTTTTAAACCCCGTGTGACTAAACTTATTAAATAAATTTATGAATCCCAGAATTGCTGACTTTCTGCTACATAATTGTATATTGCAGGAAACAGATAATTCTTAGCTGCAGGTTTGTGGCTCAAAACTGAATGGTTGCACATGCATTTAAATTTATAATTTTCAACCACAAGAAAAAAAAATAAGATCGTGAAAGCTCCAAAGCAGCAGAAGGATTGCCCCAAGATTTTACAAACCAGCTCGTCTACCATGCCTATCTTCATTTTGCTGAATGATAAATAATTCAATACAACCTCATTTGCTGCAGATCCTGTTATCCTGACAACATCCCCAAATGCATCCCAGCTAATAGAGTTACAGAGAAAGGATAAATCAGAGCCCAATGAGAAAGGAAGGCTAGAGGTGCAGAGAAAAAGGGCATCGCCCCAAAAGGGATGGTGGAAAGGGGGAAAAGGAAACACTAATAGACTGGTTCACTATCAAGGTCATGCTTGAGGAAGAGAGCCTTCAGGGACCTACTTCAAGGATTACAGAGTGTCTTTGAGAATTATTCACATGAGAGAAAGATGGACACTCATCCTTATTGGTCAAGGGACTGTCCCTGCCCATGTTGACACCTTGAACCTCCTCCCAAGCTTCCCAGTTAATCTACAGCGTTGGAAGAGTTCTGGGACTGAAGGGAATGTGTGTACTTAAGACTGTAGTAGAAGCTGTCAGTCAAGGAGTGGGAGGGAGTCTGAGTAGCCAGCTCTAGCTGAAAGCAATAGGTGGGGTGGAGAGGATGGAAGTAACAAGTAAGGACACTAGAGTCATCTAACTACAGGGAAACTTCTGCTATTCTCACCCATCATTCATACCCTCTCCCTCTCTCTCTGAGTTCTTTGAGAGTTTCTTATAACATGTTTGGATCATATTCAATCCCCTCCTCAGCTCTTCTCAGATCCACCCCCCTTTCCCTACCTACCCAACTTCATGTCCTCCCCCAACCCTTTAAGACTAATTTGTGCTGCCCAGTCTACTTTTATTGAATCACAAAACCAAAGCTATTTAAATGAATCACTTTGAATTAAACATGAACAGATATATTAGAAAGGTACTCAAAGGCAAATATCAAGTCAAATCTGATCAATTCAAATCCTCAGTAACAATATTGAAGGAATTGAAAAACTCATGATTCTAACATGCACTTTCCCTGAGCTGCATTTCAGGAGACTAAACTGGATTTTCCTTTTCCTATCTGGGATTACCTAAGGACTCCACATCCTTCACAATCTGCAAAGGCAAAGAAGCCGTAAGGCTAATTCAAAACTCACACCATTGAGAACCAAGAGAGGCCGGGGACTGGGCCTTTGCCTTCAGATGCCTCAATCAGAAATCCTGGTTGCCTGTGTAGTCTCCTGACCGCTCCCCACAGGTCATTCTCCTTCAATTCTTCTTCCACACCACAGGCAAATTCTACTCTAAGAAGGAAACCAGATCAAGCCATTGTTACTTTCAGGATCTAGTTCCAAGCACTTAGCATGGTGCCTGACACATGAGACAAACCTAGTAAAGATACGATGGGTGAATAAATGAACAAATCAAGAAAGTAAAAGAAGTTGCGATCTTGAAGACCAACCAGAGAAGTAATTAAAAGCCTTCTCCCTGCCCTGCTTATCTATGTGTTATATGTGATTTTTTTTCATGATGTTCCCTTTCTATTTATGTCAAATAAGGTTACTTAAATGAATTCACATTCTTTGAGATGTAGTTGACAATACTGCGGCTGAATTTTACAGGTCCCTCCCCCACCTCGGCAAATCCACGCCTAACTACTGTCTGTGGGTGAGAACAGGGGAAATGAAAGAGTCCTTGCATTCATGACTACCACCCAGCTCACTTATGTGAGCTTCTTGTACCTCCTGAATAGCAAGGTCAAATGAGCAGCCATGGTTCAGGTGGCGTTTGTCTCTCATCGCTCTACTCTCTTAGTACCAATCATAACCCTCAGACGGTCACCCCTTCATCCCCACGCTCCAGCATGCTAGGTCTTGAGCACACGGGAATATAGGTCAAAATGCATTATAAGGAAGGAGTTAATGTTCTAGCATTGACTATCTCGCGGATTTCACAGAGTAGATACGCTCTATGTGGATAATCAGGAGAGCCTGGTCCCAAAACCTGTTTTTCATCCTTCATTAATATTTATCAAACAGGAACTCAGACCACAGGAAGAATTTCTATAATTTAAAAATTGACTTTGGGGTGGCTGGAGAGATGGCTCAGCAGGTAAGAGTCCATGTTGTTCTTAGAGAGGACCCAGGCCTCCTTCCCTGTACCCACATAGTGAGTGGTTCACTACTCTTGTAGGGGATCCAATGCCTTCTTCTGAGCCCTGAGAACACCAGTCATGCATAGTCATACACGTAGGCAAAACATTCATACACATAAAATAAACAAATTTAAAGAATTTGCAATTGAGTTTATAATAAAAAATGAGAGCTATCCTACTGTTCTAACAATTCAACTAACTAAACAATTTTCTGTGTGTGTGATAATTGTTGCCAGCATAAATGGTCTTGTTAATTGTTTTGTTTGCAAGTAAGCAATTACCAAACTCACAGTATTTTTATTTCATAATATTAACCAAGACCTTTGGGAAAATTTCAATAAAGTTTGGAAAGAATCGGCCATAAAAAGCTCCATTACCTCTGCAAATTAATTTCACTTTCTATTCTGTGGGTTATTTCTACAGCTGCTCAGCTTCTGTCTGAGTACTTCCTCAATGTTTTGAAGTCTGTAAGAAACTACAATTCAGCTTAAATATGGTGTATTTTATAGAATACATACAGGATATAGCTGGTTCTTGCCTGAACTCCTAATTTCTTTTCTTTTTCTTTAGCAAGTTCTTTGTTTATTTGTTTGTCTGTTTGTTTTTGTTTTACAAGACAGAGTTTCTCTGTGTAGCCCCAACTGTCCTGGAACTCACT